GAGCACAATGTTACCAGTTCAAGTCAAAGGAGCACAATGTGGCAAAGAAGCAAGATGTTCAGAATATGAATAAATTCGAAGGAATTTATTTTGTATCAGCCCACATGCCACAAGAATCCAAAATTGCCTGAAGATATTTGATCAGAACGGAAAAAATATTTATGAAGACATGAATATAAAAACTTATCCTAGAAATAAATTCTATCAGATGAATTTATTTCAAAGATTCGTTGGATATTCAAATTGACAACTAAAGTAATATTTTAAACAACTAGAAAATCAAGTTGTGTTAAAATATTATTTTGTCAGGCAAGTTGACAAATCAAATCAAAATTGAAGACATACTATTGTCAACAATATCAGGCTATGAAGATTCGAAATTCAAAATATCAAATTATCCCACTCCAACGGATATATTTGATTGCCTATAAAAAGCCATGAAGACTTGAAGATACAAGCGGAGGTGAACAAGATAGATCAAGATAGAAATCAAAGTGCAAAATTCAAAAGTGCAAGTGCTCAAATATTCTTAGAGACTTAGTCTGAATAGTCTCAAAATTAGTTGGAAAGAGATACAATTACCTTTGTATTTGTAATTGTAAAAAGAGTATAGCTGTGTGCAAAATACTCTAGTGAGTGTAGCTGTGTGTAAAACACTTGTAGTTGCTAAGTGTAGCTGTGTGCAAGACACTTGGTTGGCGTTGAGTATAGCTGTGTGCGAAATACTCGAAGTTGAGTGTAGCTGTGTGCGAGACACTCGGAGTTGGGTGTAGCTGTGTGCAAGACATCCGGAAGAAGTGCCTGTGTAGCACTTATTCACTATTGTAACTGTGTGTGGAAAATAGTGAATTTCTCCTAGACGTGAAAGGAGAAAAGTGGACTAGGAAGATTACGCCACTTCCGAACCACTATAAATTACCTCTCTCATTTACATACCGCACTTACATAATTTGCTCTATCTATCTATCTTATCCGACTAACCCGTTTACTATTCACAGTTAATCTTATTCATCCGGGTTTAGTGTGTTTCTACGTATGCATGTGACTCAAACTTCTCAAGCTTAAATATTGGATTATTCTAAGCTAGTTTGACGTGTTGCATGTAACATTCGTCACACGTTCGACGTGACACGATATTTATTTACAATCTTGAATATTGTTATTATATATTGAGTGCACCATCTCCTTTATATATTCAAGATATCTCTGTCACTTTACATATCATCTGTACCCATCTTACATGCGCATTTAAATTATCGATTGGGCATAACTCTTTACATACTATTATTCCGCTGTGCAGTTTAAACTTACTCTATTTACTTGTTACTTAGAGCTGAAGTTACCAAAGAGTTATTTATTTTGAAAAAGCTTGAAAGTCTATTCACCCCCCCCCCCTCTAGACTTTCACCACCCTATCGGAACCAACATATATATATATATATATATATATATATATATATATATATATATATATATATATATATATATATATATATATATATATATATATATATATATATATATTGATGTAGCAGAAATAAGATGTGAGCTCGGGTGTGTAATATCGTCCTCAGGGGATTGGGGGATATGGCACGCAATATGCAATCACAATAAACTAGGCACTAGCATAAGGAAACCAACAAGAAGCTAAGCAAATCATAATGAAGTTAAGACTACGGTAACTAAATAAAATAACACGAACACATATGAACAAGATGTAAACACGAAATAAAGAAATAGGACTCAAGCTAGGGATCTTTATCTTCTAGATGCATAGCACAACCTAAGGATTGGGGAAAATCACACAACCAAGGAATAGAGGGGATGCATGTAGGAATCCTAGTCTATAAGTCACTCACGTGAGCAAATTAACAAGGATTAGAACAAGGAATTTCTCCACTCTCGTGGTGAATCAACTCCAAGTTCTTCAAGAACACAAAGCATCTAAAACTCCCAATTTCCCCCATTTTCATAGGAAAAATCGGGTTTATGCAAGGAGTGACTTGGAATCTTGACTCAACTCTCATTGAGGCCAAGAATCCTCCAAAACATGCCAATGAATGTTGTACACCAAGCATTAACAAAATACAAACACAAATCCTTCATAAACTCAAGAACCCTAGGTTAGAGTTCTTCCCCTTTTTGCAATAATCACAAATCAAGCATCAAGATAGATAATACAACCCTAACTCAAGTCCATAAACTAACTACTTATGGTTCAATAGCATAAAGAACACAAAAACATAAATGTAAAGCATAAACATTGCAAGATAAAGAGATAAAAGGGAGAAGAAAACTTCACTAACAAATGGATGGTAAATCTTGGAATCCAAGTGTTGAATCCTTGATTATAAGCTTGAAAAATGTTAAGAAACCTAAATCTAAACCTAATCTAACACTACAATATGAAAGGAGGTGAAAGAGAGAAGCTAGGGCTCAACCATGGGTCAAAACCGAGTTGAAATGACCCAAAAACGCGCCTAAATAGAGTAGAGCACAGTGGGACGCCCTCAGGGATGGGTGTACGCCAGGCAGTACCATTTTCGGGTGCATTTCCAGTGAACACTAGAATGGTCGTACTGGCATGCGTACGGGCGTACGCCACCTGCTTCTTTTTTCAGATCTTGGATGGGCTGATGGATGGGCGTACGGGAGGCAGTACGGTACTCTTGAAATTCCTAAATGCATTCCAAACTCTTTAATTGATCTCTTGGTCCAAGAATTGTTAGGATCTTTCCAAAAACCATTGAATTTCTGACTTGTTGTGAATGATTGCACCTTGAAATAAAACCAACATAACTTAGTCACAATTCACACAAGTTTTTAAGCAATTCACAAATAAAATGGGTTCAAGAAGGGGTAAAAATATAGACAAAAACGCACTTATCAACTCCCCCACACTTAAACTTTTGCTTGTCCTCAAACAAAGACAAGAAATAAATCACTATCCTAGCAAAGAAATTGATCACACTCCCACTTTGCACAACCTATCAAACCACAATCCAACTTGTTACAACACAACTTGTTTCAAGAATCACCTTAGCTTGGCACACAAGTTCCATTCTCAAGCCAATAACCAAGCACCAAAATTATTAAAGTACGTGAGGATCAGGTGTGCACAAATGCTAAGTTGAGATTATGCAAAACTTGGCTTTGAATGAGATTCCATAGGCTTGCCCTTCATACTCCCTCTAGATCAACTCTAAGAATGCATGCTAAGATCAAATAGGTCTTTATTAGGTTTGTAAATATATATATATATATATATATATATATATATATATATATATATATATATATATATATATATATATATATATATATATATATATATGGAGACCAAGATTAGTCCATCTCAACCCAAAAAAAGAAAAAAAAAATTTTAGCCCAAGTATAAAAGGCCATTCAACCCGTTTCAGACAACATTTTGCCATTCTTCACCATTTTGCCTTCAACTTCATGCTTTGAGCTCTCGCATCTTCAAGAACAACCTCACTCTACCCATTTGGAAATCTGTTCATCCTCTACCGTTCCACAGATTTTATTTCCGTATGAACAACTATTAGTTTGTTTATTCCTCAAGATCAGCATTCGAAGAGCAGAGAAGAACAACTCCTCTACACACCGCCATAACAGCTTAATGATCGGAGCAAAAAACTTCTGAATCATGGCGATACAGATAGCTTCCGTCAATAAAATGTAAATTTTGCTTATTTTCTATGGCTAAAAAATAATTTTAATTCGAAGATCTAAACCCTAACTTTTTGATTTACAGATCTAACTACTACGGACAAAAATTCAAGGAATACAACTCTAGATCTGAGTGTGAAACATGGCTATATGTACATGCAGACCAAGATTGTTGTCAATTAATTCGTCATCCATGGTTGATACAGAGTGGTTCTTAGATCTGGTGAGTTTAGAATATTTTCTTGTTAAATTAGTTCCATTTTGGTTATAATAGAGGATTATTATTATTTTCTAGACGAAATATAATTCCGTACACTGTTTATGGAGAAACCCCTAACTCAATGTTTGTTTAAGGTCTAATTTTAGGGTTTCCCTAAACTAAATCCTACAATACTGATAATTTTCATAAAGTTTCTACTTATACTATGTTCGATGGATTTTTGTAAAGCTATAGAGACTATACCTAATTTTTGTTTAACTCTTCTTCTTTACTTACATTGAATATGTGATTTGGTATGAATATGTGATTTGGTAACTATATTTATTTTGAAAACACATTTTAGAGGACACCATATCTGTACATTACAACCTAATGAAACCAATATAAAAAATGGAAAATACAGAAAAAAAAAAAAGATGAAAAATACATTTTTTTCTTTTCATTATTCTGAATGAACCTTTAATGATATATTGATATTTAATTTGTTATAGTGCATATTACATAAATACATGTTACCAACAAAATGATTGCATTTTTAATCATTTTCAAAATCATATTTTTTTTCCTACATTTGACATAACATTTTGTATAAATATTTATTGCAGATTTCACAACATATGTTAAGCAAATGAGGACCCAGTGCAACTGAAATAAGAACACAACCATTCATGGAATTTGAATGAAGACAAATAGGCATGAAACATTGTACCTTTATTTGAGCCAACACATTTCCTTTTTCCACATATCGTAGTTGACCCCGTCAATTTCTTCATTCTTACTGCAATTACTAACTATGCAATCACTTTAATGGTAGATTCTTTCAAAATGAGTGGAGCATATATATGTTTCTTTGTTAGACTTAGATGAGTTATATATATATATATATATATATATATATATAGAGGGTGAGGATCAAGTGAGTATATTGTCCTAGGTGAGGAGTGTGGACTATTTTAGACCATCCGATTATTAAGATTTATGGTTGTGATTGCATAGATGTAATGAGTAAAAAACAGATCTTAAACATGGTAAATAGGGTAATTAAGAGGGCTAGGGGCTATAAAGGTAAAAGCTTGGCAATCGTGCTACTGCAATCACAGGAAAGCTCCGTCATTCTCGATCCAAATCTCCTTCAGTTTCATTGCTAGGGTCTTTGAAGTTGACTACCTCAATTAAAAAATAGACGAAGAGGCACAATCTCCTTCCCCCGATTGTACCCCTCGTAATCCATAGCCGACGACTCTCAACGACGAAGCAAGATGAGAGCTTCTCTCGAGCTGGTGAGAAGAATATGTACGTTTTTTACTATTTTGCACGATTCACAGTGTGTTTGTGTGCATCGGTGATTGGTTGTGTTTACACGATTCACAGTGTCTTTGTGGGTGGATTGGGGTAAATTAGGGTGTCAAAGTGTAGGGATAAAAATCCCAGTAAACTAAATGGGTCTGTTTTGAGTATGAAATCAAATGCACAAACGATTACATCAGTTGGGTTGTTTTGAGTATGAAATCAAATGCACAAACGATTACATTATTTGGGTTGTTTTGATTATGAAATCAAATGCACAAACGATTACATCATTTGGGCTGTTTTGAGTATGAAATCAAATGCATAAACAATTACATCAGTTGGGTGTGAATGGATTTAAAAGTTGTATTTATTTACTAAACTGACTAGGACCTCTATGTGCGAAATATCCTGCCAGCTTTTATTAGGCATTTTTTAATTTACTAACCAATAACTTAATCTTTCTTTATCAGAACATAAAATGAACGGGCATTTTTTTAAAAATTTGATATGTGCATCTAAGAATGTTCTGAAACTGCAGTATAGTGCTGAATTGTTGTGCATACATGGTGTTTTGTGTGTTTTTCCTATGCAGGTTATTAGAGGCGTATTTGTTAAAAAAAATTGACTTATGAATTAAAGGAGTAGTATATATTAGTGTAAGTATGTATTTGTATGGTTTTGGGTTTGTGCAAGCTAATAATTATCACACTTGACTATCCCCCTGAGTTACTTTGATTTGTTCCCTTATAAAAGGTGAGCACTTTTTAAGGTGTGTTTTTTTCTTTTCAAATATTGTTATGCAATGAAAGGAAATGAATTAAGAAATACTCGAGACAAATACTCAATGTTATATGCATGTGTGAGTGATGAATATGAGGTGTAAGGAATGGATTAAGTGTGATAGTATTATGGTGGATAGGTGATATAAAGGATGGTTTGGTCAGTGAACAAAGTACACAGTTTAGTGGTTAGTAATTGAGCATTGTAGTAGAATGAGATCCTTTTAGTGGCAACAGACTACCAAAATGTGTTGCGGGTAGCGATTCAAACATGGTCAAACTAGGGGAAGGGGTTAGGGGAAAAAAACAATGGAAGAGAAATTGAGATTTATGGGGTTCACGTGGGATTGCATAGTGTTTATTATGACTTATTGTGCTAGCTTGATTAATTTATTTGAGCATTATGCGTTTGTCGTAGTATGTATTTGTGGAACTTGAGTGTGCATTTAGTGGTGTGCAACTGCGGTAAATTATGTAGAGCATTTATGTGCATTGTGAATGTGCAGTGCTAGTGTGTGCATTCTGGTTTTGTTATGTTGAGCATTTGCCAAACAAGACTATGCATGTATGTGGTTGCATCTAAGGTAAATACATACATTGCGCATCATGTCAATATTTAGTAGTGTGGTACTGATTTTATGTCACTTAATGAGCATATGCAGCCAAGAAGCGAAGATCCACTAACAATCAGCAAGGTCAACCCGGTGGGGAGGTTACTCAGTGAATGTAATGGGCATTACACACTTAACCTCGCAAGCGCTCCACTCTTTGACGTGAGGCAACATCTAGGGTATTTGAGAATACAATGAAATGTGCGGAACATTTGTGTTTTGAGCGTTTAGTGAAGTTTTGGATTGTGCTAGATTGTAATGGTAGCTTTGTGTGTGGTAATTGTTGACACTTGTGGCCTACACAACCAACACCGTATTTTGGTGATTTTGAATCCATATTTCGATTGGAATTTCAATATGGCAGTGGTCAAGGACATATTTTTAAACACAATAATGATATATGTAGTTATTTATCTGAAAAGCTTTGGGTGATTTAGTTCGATAATATGTATTGAGCATTGTCTTTGACTCCACGTGTGCAACTACTCAAAAATACCTATATTCATATAAATTGCACTGTGTTAAATTTGATAGGGATTGTATTCCCTATGAATGTGCATTCGGTGCAACTAGCCACATGGTGTGTTCATTTTTTTTTGTTAATGTGCATTTGGGCAAGGGATAGAAATGAATGAAAAGTAAATTACACAAAATAATAGGTCCAGTGTGCAAAACCAGTTGGTTCTTAGTTCACCCAAACTACCAACAACAAACCACTATACCAAACACACACCAGAAAACAAAAGCAATACACAAATAAAAAATGAGCAACGTTGAAAGCTGAGTACCAAACTATAAAGCATTATGAAAACAACCAAAAGGTCCACAACACAATGAACAACTAAACACCTAGTGAAAATCACCAATGTTGTATGGTGAATTGAAAAATAACAAAAATGGCCCACAAAATGCCTAATTGAAAAATAACAAAAATGACCCATAAAATGCCTGACAGCCTCGTCACACGTGGGCAACCAATACTTTTTGTCACCTAGAGAAACGTCCACAACACAACCTTTGCATGAATCAGTCAGGCCTACACACACAAACAACAAATAAATAGTAAGCTAGAATAAACTAAACTCAAACAAAATTCGTCAAAAAAACACCATGTACCATAAAAGAATACAGTTAAATGCTAACATACACAGGAAAAAAAAACTCAAAGCAAAAAAAAAAAAAAAAAAACCGCACATGATATGAATAAACCCACCACTACGCCATAAATGCACATATACAGTCAACAAAGATAACAAAAATCACAACCCATGACAATGAATAACGAAGAGAAAAAAGACATACATGGACACTCCATACTAACCGTTGCACACAAGAACTTAACACCATGCACAACCCTACCACCGGTAAAGCAAAATGCAAACAGACTAAAAAGAACACAAAGCAAACTGCACAAATGCCTAACAAACGCAACAGGTTTCCATAAATGCACAATTACAGAAACAATCGGTGCACAATTCATAACAAACCACGCCAACTCAAAAAAAAAATAAATAAATAAATGGACAACAGCCGATTGAGTTTACATAACAGGAAATCAATGCACAAATATATAAGAATAAATGTCCACAACCCATTATATGATAAATAACGACAAATAACAATGACAAACCCGTAAAAACTACATGGACATATACACCAAAAGCATACATAAAGTCTAACACCATGCACACCCCTATCGGCAAACACCCGAACCGTTAATAGCAAAAATGCAAAAAAAATGACATACGAGACGAATAAACACCAATCACGCCCCGTAAATGCACAATTACAGTGAATGATGATGCACCCTTCGAACAAACGATAAATGACGGAACAATGACATACCCGGTGAATCCATATCGGCAAACGACTCCAAACAAGCACAACGGTGGAAACAAGCAAACCTGCGTAGAAAGAACAATGAATCACTGAGAAAGCATCGAGAATCGGGAATGGAGAAATAAAATCCTTCCTAACCTTAATTAATCATCTTAAAAACATGCATAATATCCCAAAATAATTAAAACTAAAAAAAGAATAAAAAGCAAATGACTGAAACACCCCAAATAATGCTGCGGAAAAAAGAAATAAAAACAAAGGAAAAAAAAATTAAAAAAATCACAACCACATATCATCAAAAAATCTACAGTTATAATTCATCCACAGTCCACATGTGTGGAAGTGTCCTCATTTGATCCTCTCTCTCTCTCTCTCTATATATATATATATATATATATATATATATATATATATATATATATATATATATATATATATATGTATGTGTGTGTGTGTGTGTGTGTATATGTATATCAAATTTGAGAGAATTTGAAAAGTTACTATCACACATTAGTTTTAAAAAGTCAAAACTTACCATCAGCAATTAATGCTTGATAGTAAGGCTATGTCTATAAATAAAGTAGAATATTGTATGTATTGGATTTTGTGTAACTTGGATTCTATTCAATTAATGTGATAGCTATTTTTAGAATTTTAAATAAGAAAAAAAATCATTTCAAAATCATATCAGATTTGGTTTTTCTTTTCTCCACCATCTGCACACACATATAATAAACAGAAACATAAAAAACAGCAAAATTAAATACAAAAAAATAGAACAAACAGGAAATTAATTTAATCATTATATACACAGGCATTGTATTTACAAATTATTTGAAGTACTAATCAGGCTGCATGTATCTTCATAATACTAACACAAAATTTTTGAAATGCCTGTGTAGATGGTGCAACATTAAGACGAACATACAACCAAAAACCAGATAACGATGCAAATGAGTTAGTAAGTTTAAAGTTACTAAAGTTTTAATTCCAACATGCAAAGGTATGGTTCCTGTAATTTTGCATATTCTCTTAATCTATGATATTCAATTTACTTTTTTTGCCAACAGAGTAGTGGACTGATAAACTCAGATTATCGATCAGTCAATCATTCAGATAGATAATCAGATATAAAGGAATGCGGAAGACTAAGGCAGAAAGTAAATGCAACACACAAGTTTGTTTACCCAGTTCGATACAGTGTGTATCTACATCTGGGGGACGATCACCGATGCGTCCAATCCACTAACTCAGAATCCAATGTACAAAGGTAAAGAAAAAACGATCTCACCCAAGTGATCCTCACAAGGTCAGTACCCAGTCTACATAGGTTTAGTGGATTGTTGAAGTCGGAGAGCCATGCATTCAGAAGTCCAGTGAAATCCCTTCAATGGAGAGCTAACTCTGATGCAGTCCGCTTCACTGACGCAGCCCCACGTTGTTCCCACAATTGAGTGATCTTCGCGTCCAATTGTTTAAGCAGTATTGATTCTTCTCAAGTTCACTTCGTAATCACCATGAACTCTTGTTCTTGAGAAGAGGCATAAAATCAGAGATGTGTATCTTTTTAGTATAGAGTGTTGCGGCTTCAATCAATGCAACCCTAACTTTTGAGAGTATATGTGTATATATACTTCTTTGACTTGGATACTCTCCAAATATAGCTCTGGTTGTAAAAGGTAGGACTTTGTGTAGAAAAAGATCTTGCATCTTCAAGAAGATTATGTCCATACATTAAGATATGATTCGCTGATATTCTTTCCAAAATATTCATCTCATAAACGAGTCTGCCAGCTTTTAGAAACTTTCATTTATCAAACCTTCGGTGGCTTGATCAAGAGATGCGCCTGTTGATTTTACTGATCAATCAGTCTTCTTCAAGGACGGTCAGACACCAAGCTAAACCCTATCTTAATTTGCCAAAATAATATCGCCAATTACATGTTGGGATTTTTTCTTTAAATAATAAAACACTAACAGTTCCATTGTATCTTAATCTTTTATTTTTTTGTTCTTTTACATCAAAATTTCGTTGTGTATGTTGCATCCCTTTGCTGATTACTTGCATTTATTAAGTTGGGTAATTTTTTTATTTTTTTTTTCGGTTACTCAATTTCTGCCAAACTGTTTTCAGTGCTCATTGCTTTGATAGACCAGTGTAAAAGTTATCATTATACATTTTCTTTAAAAAAAAGTTGTTATCATATTACCTATTGGTGACTAATAACTTCAAGCAGAACTATATGTTTGTGTTTTCACTAGGACTATTTGGTCCAATGGTACTCGGGTTGGATTTCCATGTGGAAGATTGTGAGTTCAAGCCTCAGTGGAGGCGTTATTAGATCTTTGTGTTTCAGTAGGTTGAGAAAAATATGTTTGTGTTTTCTCTTTCGAAATATAGTATAACTTACAACAAACCACAATTGGATTCAATTATACATGTTATGGTATTGTAATGTTTACTATGATATTACATTCCAATTGTGGTTAACTGTGATCACCCCTTATTGCTTGACAGACCATTGTAATTTTATGTGCCCATTTTTTTTTCTAAGTTGTTAATATATTATGATTTACTGATTATTATGTGTTTATGTAGTAGTAATTGTTTAAACAATCCCGTTACAAACTTAGTCCTTTTTTTTTCTTCTTTTCGAAGTAGTTAGTATAGGATGATTTGTTGACTAATATGTGTATGTCTTATCTATATCTAATTAAACATAATGTCTATTTGGTTTTATAGAGTATGGCAATTTAGGTTTTTTTTTTTCCTAATTTCTTACTATATCATCATTTGTTGAGTAATATGTCTTTTTATCATCTATAGTAAACTGTAGATCAAACTAATAGGGCAAGGTCTAAGTGTAAAATAACAACATCATGTGTGGTTTTTAGAATATAACTTATAAGCAAGTCCATCAAACTGAATCTTATATGTGTTTTAGCCACTCTTTACATGTTATTCTATGATATTATCTAATCATGATAGAGGCAAATGATGATAAACATGTCTGCTAGAGCTGTCAAAACGGGCCAGCCCGGCCCATATGGGCTGGCCCGTCACGGGTTGTCAGAAAACGAGCCCGACCCGACCCGTTTTTCAATACGAGTTGGGAAACTTGGCCCAACCCGTATACTACGGGCTGGCGGACTAAACGGGCCAGCCCGCCAGTCCGTTTATTTTTTTTTAATTTATTTTTTTAATTGATATAAATATTTGTGTATGATAAAAATTGAACCTTTGACCTCTCATGTAAATAATCAAGCTTTAGTCCACTTGAACAACCTACAACTTTTGAAACAAAATTGTGTATAAATATAAATAAATATATATAGATATATATGAAAAGTACACATATTCACATATACCCACGTGTAACTATAATTAACTTATAGAGTTTATAAAATATATAAAATAAATAAACTTTATGTTAACTATATAATTATATTAATATTTACATAAAATTATAATTAATCATATAAATAAAGCTTGTAAACATAATATGATTAATTTAACTATATATAATTGAGTTTATAATTATTTATCCGTTATATATATATATATATATATATATATATATATATATATATATATATATATATATATATATAATGCTAGTTCATTAAATGTCAACCAATAAAATGATTCATGAATTATACAAATATATAATATATAATTATGAAACATAATGTATGTAATTATGAAAACATATAATACATGTTCATATGTTGTATGGTTATATATTTATATAAATAATTTACAATTGAGTCTCCGTACAACTACTCATGTACAGACGTACAGCCGGTATAGCTGTGGTATATGTCTAAATAGTTGAGCAATATATGTTTATGTACCAAGGATATCTATATTGATACTTGTTTTATTTTGTACCGTAAATCAATAATGAACCTCAGCTCGCTTAACTATTTAAAGTTATGACTTTTGTTGTGTAAATGAATTTCTAGCATCATAATTTCATTATATACATTCAAAAAAAAAAAATATACATTCTTGAACAAAATTATATTCTACGTACTACAGTTGAAACATGCTTTCTAGTAAAGCCGATTATTTATATAAATAATTAAATATAATTAAATATATAACCATACAACATATGAACAATAAGTACAATTAGTCTAATTGGTTAGATGTTTGTAATAGAAGTGAATTAAATTGAGAGGTTATGGGTTTAAGTCTTGCCATAAGCAAATATTTTACACTTAAACTAAAATATATTAAAAAAAATAAAATTAATAATGGCTAAACGGGCCAACCCGTGTAACCCACGGGTTGGCCCGTTTGGACCCGGGTTACACGGGTCGGGCCGGGTCTAAAATTGCATGACCCAACCCGTCGTAAAAACGGGTTAAATGGGCCCACCCCGACGGGTTGGGCCCGTTTTGACAGCTCTAATGTCTGCCAATTTTTTGGAGAAAGTTTTGATGAAAATTATTGGGATCAGGATATTACCTAATATCAAATATTGGTAATCTGTTTTCAGATATTTATTTTTACAACTTTTGCCTTTTTTTCAAGTTGAGTAATTTTTTTTTTCTTTGTCAAGATGTTGACAGTATATGATAAATGGTTGATTAATAAGTGGTTGTCCTACCTATACCTATGTGAAGATAATCCCTAGCTATTTGCCTAGGAAACATAGAGTTGAAATTAGCATTACATTAAGTAGACTTGGATAACAGCTTGCAACTGAGACAAAGCCAATTTACAAAAACACAAAACATCATCACCCACCTACACCTAGTCACCATACTATTAAGTGAATCTTAATATTACAGTTCAACCAATTCAGCCTTCAAAACACACCAGCAAAAATAAACATTAGGGTGGATTACCAAAAACATAAAACCTAGTCTTAGTGCAAGCCATTTTCAACCTATTCCCTTTAATGCTACTCCATTTACTTCTCCTTCTTCACAACAGCAAGTCAGCAACCTTAGGTTTCTTTGAGCTCCCAATAGCATCAAAATCCTTCATTAGGCACCTCTTAAGAGGAATAGCAACAGCCCTATCGTCTAGATCCGCAGGAATTTCATCCAGCCCAACACACTAGTCCTTGTCAAAGTCTTCAGAACCAATTTCCAGTCCTTCACACTCTTCATCATCACTAACAAACACTTACTAAATGAGAAAAAAAAAACTTAAGCGTTACCTATTAAGTGTTTGTCATTTGTTAAAAGCATTCCTTTTTGTAGTTTAGATATCTACCTCACAGGCTTGACTAACATCCAAACCACCATCAGCTGACATGATCTCAGATTGGTTGCAAGCTAAGAAACCTGAGCAGTGTTGTGTAAGCACTGCTTCATCTCTACAAACACGTAGAATAGTGAAAGCAGGGTAATAACTCTCTACTTGATCTTTCTTCATAGCTATCCGAAATAGCATAGACATCCCACACAAACGTCTTAGCTCCATTGGAATAGAGTTATTACCCTAGGAAAATTTCATACCACTTATTGTGTCAAGGTTTAGCCTCACAAATCAGGTAAGAAGATTTTAAAAAAAATTTTGCATACCCCAAGATACTTCTCCTTTAAGTCAGCAGCTGCTATACCAACCAAATCAGCACATTCCCGATCCCATATGAGCATAGGAGCATCCTCAGTTTCATCAGCAACACGAACTATCACTCTATACCTCACAATCCTTTCTTGCCAATAGCTATTACACCTAGCACAATAGAGCATCCCTCGACTCTCAGACAGCTTTCTCTTGTAAGAATTAGTCTTGCAAGAGATAAAGTACCAATCACATAGACTCTCAACACCAACAATTCGACCAGCTACCCAATACTCCCCCAACTGCCCAGCATAACACAGTAAAGGTATTAATAGTTAGTTATTATACATCCTGCCTTACATACTTAGTTAAATTTTCAGTTTAGGTAACTATATTCCCACAGAAATAGATTATAAGCACTAATGTTAGTTAGTTATTGATAAATCCAACCTTATATACGTAGTTAAACTTACAGTTTACGAAACTATATTCCAACAAAAATAAATTATAAGCACTATTGTTAGTTAGTTAGTGATTATTGATAAATCCTGCGCTATATACATAGTTAAAGTTACAATTTAGGTAACTATATTCCCACAAAAATAGATTATAAGCACTTCATAATTTAAGTTACAGTTTAGGTAACTATATTCCCACAGAAATAGATTATAAGCACTACCATTAGTTACTTAGTGATTATTGATAAATCCAGCCTTATATACATAGTTAAAGTTACAGTTTAGGTAACTATATTCCCACAGAAATAGATTATAAGCAAAAAACTATAGCTTACATGTTTTTTACTGTAAATCTCCTCAATAGAACTGACCAACACTTCCTTGGAAGTACCACTACCATTAGGAAAACCAACACCAAGCCTAGATGAAGAATCAATACACCGCAATTGAGTTGAGTCACATGTGAAGCTACTAAAACAATAAACCAAGAAAACAATTAATGATTCATTAGGAAACAACCATTAAATTAGGAAAGACTTCGTAGGTACACTCATTGCATCAAAAGAGCTGCATATGCGCACTTCACCATCTGCGAAGTATAACAGATTAAATAAGTAAACAAATTATGTGTGCAGTAAATACTAAGTTACACTTACTGTCCATAAATTTTGCACGGAAAAGTTGGATCAAAAGTATCAGTGGTTCAACAACATCTTGGTTGAAATAAGGAAGAAGTTGATCCACATGGTCATCCCAAAGTGTGCACTTAATAGGATTTTTACTGCACACATAATTGTAAGAAAGTTAGACATACAGAATGTAATATATAGCTTACTAACTGTAATACACAGATGTGGAAAATAAAGAAGCAAAACTTACCTCATATCCTTAAGGACAAAGTCTATCAACCTAGTTCTTTTTTTTTTTTTTCCAGCTATTACCTTCTCCAGTGGGGAATAAATCTCCACAACTCTACCAATCACATCTAAAAACATAGGACTATGTTAAGAACACAATATGTCATATAGGATATTTTTGTATGTTTAAATCAAGGAATTTGAAGATAACAATTTTGGTTATGAATCACTTACCCATTAAAACTTTCTCATCAACATCTTGTTTTGAAAGTATAGCAGGGAAACTCTTGAACCGAAACATAGTTTTCAGGAAATTGATATGCTTATATTGCTTCACCAGAGTGTCATGCTTAAACTTTATCATATAACGCAAAGTGCTTGTTTTGTATTTGAAAAAGTTTGTGATACATAGGAAATTCCTAATCCCATAAACTTGCCCCTCCTTGAATTCATTCTTGTATTTGCAAACAATGTCCTTAGGTATGTGCACATGGATGAACATACCCTATATTTCAAAGAACCAAAATAACATAGTTAGAAGAACCTAGCAACACTTAAAGACAAGCTTAAAAAAAATATAAGAAGGTAATGTAGGAATAACACTTGTTGATCTACGAAAACACACTCTTGGCTTCTTATGTTGTTTTCTCCCTTTGTTTCAGTGACAACATAATTCCTTACACAACGCAGCTTAATCGCCTTCGTAGTAAGCTGTGGATGAAGTTCAGCACCAAGGATGAAAGGGCCAGACATCCTCTAGAGATGGTTACTGCAAATTGGAACTTCTTTAACCTTTATTGCTTACTAGACATTGTATTGTTTTGGTTTTCACTTCTCTCTTCGCATAGTTAGAAAATTATGTATCATTGCGTATGTATATATAACCCAGGAGATGACATCCTATACGTATTATTATATTACAAAATCTATAGACTTGATAGCAATCTCATACCCCTGGAAACTTAAAATGCACGCATAGTATGAAGAAGGCCATACCCATACCAACTCTACCCAACTACCTAAATATTAGCCTAAATATCTGAAGCCAATCTGATATCTTCTGAAATCTGATTAAAAAACTAATTAAATAATATAAAAGTATTTCAAATTAGGTGGGATACGTTCAGATTTGAATGACCAAAAAAAAAAAAAAAAAAACAGTGTAGCTTTGGATGGCGGGAAAATGAAGGCATTTCATTGGCTGAAAATTAATGACTTTTATATGTATATAGATAGATATAGATAGATTACACCATGGACTATGGTTTATTTTACATTGTAGACTTTAGTTCAAAATAATATTCAAATAATGTGTTTGAAGTTGACATATTTTGTATATGCAGTTGACAATTTATATGACTATAAATAAGTTGAAGATACACAAAATATGTTAATTATAGACCCATAACATCGTAACTACAAACACATAATATGTTAACTGCCAATACATAATATTTTAACAACATATTATGTGTCTGCAGTTAACATTTTCAATTTATTTACAAGCACATGAATTGCTAACTGTTGGTACAAAATATGTCAACTGCATACACATAATTTTTGGACCAGGGTCCACAATGCAAGATGAACGCTGGTCCATGATATAACAATTGAGTTATTATACAATGGATCATGGTCCAATATGGTGTTAATTTTTATTTTGTTGATGTTATCGAGAACCAATGGCGTATCATGTTACATATATGTATATTGTCAAATAAAATTGTAGTATAATTAACACGATATTTTGGTATTGCTATAATGAAATTTGTGTGTGGAAATAAAACTAAAAAGAAAAAAGTGTCAAATTGGTCCCCTAAGTTGAGTGGATAGTGCAATTGAGTCCCTTAAGTGAAAAAAGCTTCATTCAAGTCCCCTAAACCAGTAAAATTGTTCAATTAAGTCCAAATTGACTTGTTTATTAGGTTAAATGCATACGGTGTTGACACTGTCCTTATTTTATTTTTATTTTATTAAAAATATTATTTATTATAAATTAATTAAAATAATAATAATAATAATAATTAAAAAATTTAAATTAAAAAAAAAAACAGCCACTGGCCGGACAGCCAGTGGCGGTCTTCCTTCTTCAAGGACAGCCGTGGCCGTCCGGCTGTTTTTTTTTTTTTAAATTCTTTTTAATTATTATTATTATTTTAATTAATTTATAATAAATAATATTTTTAATAAAAAATAAAAGAAGGGCACGTGTCAACACCGTATGCATCTAACCTGATAAACAAGTCAACTTGGACTTAATTGAACAATTTTACAGGTTTAGGGGACTTGAATGGAGCTTTTTTCACTTAGGAGACCTAATTGCACTATCCATCCGACTTAGGGGCCAATTTGACACTTTTTCCAACTAAAAAATATAGCTCATGCAATAATGTATATTGTCAAATGAATTTGAAGTGTAATTAAAATGATACTTCAACATTACTATAATGAAACTAGTGTGTGTGGCAAATGAAACTAAAAAATATAGCTGATACAATAACGTATATTTTCAAATGAAACTAAAGTGTAATTAAAATGATACGACGTTGTTTTACCAATCCTTATACCATGGATCAGGGTTCACAGTGAACTGTGGACCCTGGTGCATGTGTATGTGTCTTGTGTTGTGAGTTTTTATGTATTGTGTTGTGAAATTTTGTACCTTAAGAGTATGAATTCTGTACCTGAAACAAATTAGTAATTGTGTCTTATGATATGAATTTATGTGTCTTGTGTTGTGAAATTTTGTGTTTATGAACACAAATTATGTACCTAAATGACTAAATCAGATTTGAAAAATAAGTAAATATATAACATGTGTCTTGTGTTATAATTTTTGTTGTGTTATGAAATTATGTACCTTATGAGTATGAATTTTGTACCTCGTTGTTTTGATCCATGATCCATAATGCTATATGAACCTTGGTCCATGATATAAATCAATCATTATTGCATGAACCATGATCCACACAATTGTGTGAACCATAAATAAAAAGTACATTTTTAATATACTAAGGGTACATTATTTATGTATATAAAGTACATTTTTGAAAGCACATTTTTAATATACTAAAGAGTACATTATTTTATATAATGTACCTTCAGTACAAAAATAATGTACCCTTAATATATTAAAAACGTACCTGATATTCATGGTCCACACAATTGTGTGGACCATGGTCCATGCAATAATTTGCCGATATAAATTGCCCCGTTTTACTTCATGGTCCACATTAAAATTTGCTTGGGTCAAGGAGAAAATGAATTGGTCAAATTGGCCCATTTTTAATCAATTTACATAGAGTTAATTACCGAAATGGTCCATTGATTATAGCAAAATTATCAATTTGGTCCTTGACTATTTTTTTGACCAATTAAGTCCCTCAACTTTAAAAATCTTAACCAATTTGGTCCTCCGCTTGCTTGACCGTTAGTCAACCGTTAACTTGGGACCAAATTGGTAATTCGCTTTAGTCAAGGGACCATTTTGGTAATTAACTTTAAGGGTGGTCAATTCGGTTAAGTTTTCTCGAACCTAACCGTACCAAACTAGTTAGATTCGGTAGTATACCGAACAACCGAACGGTAATAGATTCTTGTATACCGAACGGTTCAGTAAAAACTCGAACCAAACTGAATTGTTCGGTAAAAACTGAACCGAACCGAATACCCTTTGAACTTTGGATTGCTATTTTGTTATATATTAGACTTTGGATATGGACTATATAAACACCATAACACATAATATAGAACTTTTGATAACAAAACATAAAGAAATCAAATAAAACATTTACGAGAGATACCCGTGAGAATATGAGCTGAACGGCAGAGCAAGTGGCAAGGGACTTGGATTTACTTTATTTATTTATTTATTTATTTATTATTATTATTATTATTATTATTATTATTATTATTATTATTATTATTATTATTATTATTATTATTATTATTATTATTATTATTATATTTTTAAAAAATCAAACGGTATTCGGTTCAGTTCAATTTTTTACCGAACAATTCGGATCGATTTTTTTATCGAACGGTTCAGTATACAAGAATCCAATACTGTTCGGTTGTTCGGTATATTATCGAGCCAAACTAGTTCGGTTCGGTACCGTCCGATTCGAGAAAACTAAATCGAATTGTCCACCCCTAAAGTTAATTACCAAAATGGTCCGTTGACTATAGCAAAATTACCAATTTGGTCCCAAATTAACGATTGACTAACAGTAAAACAAACGGAGGACCAAATTGGTTAAAATTTTTAAAGTTGAGGGACTTAATTGGTTAAAAAAAATAATCAAAGATCAAATTGATAATTTCGCTATAGTCAAGGGACCATTTAGGTAATTAATTCATTTACATATTTATGGCAAATTATGCCTTGGACCCGTGTCCACATTGAATTGTGGACACGGGCCCAAAACGACGTCGTTTTTTTAAAAAACACGTCATTTAGTTAAAAAAAAAAAAAATCGCGCGCGTTTTGCCGTTAACGGCGTTATTTTTTTTTTTTTTTGGATTATGAATGTACAGTTATGCCGTTATGAATGTACAGTTATGCCGTTATGAATATACAGTTATGCAATTATGAAATTATGAACACAGAGCTCTAACATTATGAACTTACAATTATGAACATATATAGTGATAAAATTATGACCATGGAGCTTTAAAATTGTGAATATAGAGCTTCGAAGATTATGAATGTACAGTTATGGAGTTATGAATGTACAGTTATAGAGTTATGAATCTACAGTTATTGAGTTATGAATCTACAGTTATGAGATTATGAATCTACAGTATGGAATTATGAATGTACAGTTATTGATCAAATTATGAACAAAGAGCTCTAACATTATGAACTTACAATTATGAACATATAGTGATAAAATTATGAACATAGAGCTCTAAAATTGTGAACATAGAGCGTCGAAAATTATGAATGTACAATTATGGAGTTATGAATGTACAGTTATGGAGTTATGAATGTACAGTTATAGAGTTATGAACGTACAGTTATGGAGTTATGAATGTATAGTTATTAACATATAGTAATAAAATTATGAACATATACTCTTACAATGAAGCGGTCTGAAATTAAAAAAAAAAAAAAAAGGAGATAACAGTGCCTAACGGCACTGTTACCCGTGTCCAGCAAGCATGCTGGACACGGGTCCAACGCATAACGATTGCATATTTATATAGAGGTGTCGGTGATGCATAATACAGGCCGGGCTGAATTCCAGCCCACAACATAGTGGTTTGGTAGGCTAAATGCGCCCCAACCCACTTATTCTTACTAAATATTTATAATTTAAAATATTCAATCATTATTGTATGAACCATGGTCCACACAAGTTGTGTGGACCATATTTGGTCTACTGTAAAATAATGTATATTTAATGTAAATATAATGTACATTCAATACACAAATAATGTACATTATATTCAAGGGATATACATTATTTTTGTTTTGAGTGTACATTATATTGTATAATGTACATTCAGTACAAAAATAATGTACATTTAGTATATTCAAAATGTATATTCAGTACAAAAATTATTATTATTATTGTTATTATTATTGTTGTTGTTGTTGTTGTTATTATTATTATTATTATTATTATATTATTATTATATAGTAATGTTGGCCCATTAAAAAGTATAATTGATTATGGTTCATTATTATAATACTATAGGTTCATTATAAGAATATTGTAGGTTTATTAAGATGACATCAAATTGCATAT